TAATGTAAAAATACAGGTAATGATAATGTAAACATACAAGTAATGATAATGTAAACATTCAAGTAATGATAATGATTACATACAGGTACATGTAAGGATAATGTAACCATACAAGCAATGATAATGTAAACATACAAGCAATGATACTGTAAACATACAGGTTAGGATAATGTAACCATACAAGCAATGATAATGTAAACATTATCATTGCTTGTATGTTTACACTATTATCATTAATTGTATGTTAACATTATCATTGCTTGTATTGTTACATTATCCTTACATACAGGTACATGTAATGATAATGTAAACATGGAAGTAATGATAATGTAGACATTCAAGTAATGATACTGTAAACATACAGGTTACATTATCCTAACCTGTATGTGTACAGTATCATTGCTTGTATGGTTCCATTATCCTAACCTGTATGTGTACAGTATCATTGCTTGCATGTTTACATTATCATTGATTGTATGTTTACATTATCATCACTTGAATGTTTACAATATCATTGCTTGTATGTTTACAATATCATTGCTTGTATGGTTACATTATCATTGCTTGTATTGTTACATTATCCTTACATACAGGTACATGTAAGGATAATGTAACAATACAAGCAATGATAATGTTAACATACAAATAATGATAAAGTTAACATTCAAGTCATGATAATGTAAACATTCAAGTGATGATAATGTAAACATACAAGCAATGATAATGTAAACATGATAGTAATGACAATGTCAACATTCTAGTAATGATAATGTTAACATACAATTAATGATAATAGTGTAAACATACAAGTAATGATACTGTAAACATACAAGTAATGATAATGTAAACATACAAGTGATGATGATGTAAACATTTGCAAGATTTCAAACTGTTCAAGTGATGATATTGTATACATAAATTGATAAACAAGTGATGAGAGAAATGTTTACAAGATGATGTAAAAAAAATATTCATAATGTTGATTCAAACTATTAGTTTTTGATTGCTTACGCATGGCTTCAAAACCTGTTTTTGATTACTTACGCATGGCTTCGAAACCTGTTTTTGATTGCTTACGCATGGCTTCAAAACCTGTTTTTGATTGCTTACGCATGGCTTCAAAACCTGTTTTTGATTGCTTACGCATGGCTTCAAAACCTGTTTTTGATTGCTTACGCATGGCTTCAAAACCTGTTTTTGATTGCTTACGCATGGCTTCAAAACCTGTTTTTGATTGCTTACGCATGGCTTCAAAACCTGTTTTTGATTGCTTACGCATGGCTTCAAAACCTGTTTTTGATTGCTTACGCATGGCTTCAAAACCTGTTTTTGATTGCTTACGCATGGCTTCAAAACCTGTTTTTGATTGCTTACGCATGGCTTCAAAACCTGTTTTTCTAACACAAAATTCGTGATAGATTTATCGTGTGTATAAAATATTGTGTAATATATGTTTTTTACCCGATACCGACCATTGACGGTACATTTCACCATTGTACATGTATAACATGATGTAATTGTATATTATATTACTGTAGACATATTTTGTATTTTTTTCCTCAATTCTCTTATCCATTTCCATGCAGACAATTGGTTAAATCTGTTTCAGAAGCTGTATAGTAAGATAATTAACCTGTCCACGCTATTGATTTGCATTGAAGTAAACATCAAATACTACGCACGTTTGTTTTATAATAATACCTGTCATTAGCAATAAGTGTATTTAAAACACTTCGTAACCACTCAGGACATTTTCAACAACTTTTTTTTTTTATCTATGAGCAATGTCTCTGTTTATCTTGATGTCGATGTATTGCTTGGCGTTTTTACTACTGTTTAGCTGACACTGTGTACAAATTTCACTTCAGTCCACACATAACATTCCGTACGGTTTTCTGGTCATTGTTTGGTCGGGGGGAGACAACTGCAGTGGAGCTTGGTGAATACGGGCACATTTTCACACAAACTGTTGGCTATTGGATCTTCGGTGCCTACAACATCGCTACCGTCACAGTGCTTCTCAACATGCTCATCGCTATGATGTCAAGATCGTTTGAGATTATCCAGGTAAATCATATCGGTTTAAAAAAAATGCAGGTGAGGTCGAGGAATTTTGAAATAAGGGTTCACATACAAATGCATTTCATGAGCATCTTAACATGAACAAACACCGACGGTACAGAGAGACACTGCTGATGACATATGAGGTTACAAAATAATCACTGGCATTTCTCTTTTGAGTCTTTCATTTTCTTTTAAAACTATTTGTTATCTTAAGTCGAATCGGGTTAATATCATGTTGTATCGAAATACTGAGACTAAAAAACAAATGTCGATTTAATTTTCTCTCGACCATTTACAACCGACAATTCTTGAAATGTCTCAAACCAAATATCGCCTAACAATTCCTTTATAACGCCAACATGTGTGGGGCAATTTGTGGTAGTTGTAGAGAATTTATCCAGGTATTTGGCGTCTTTAGATCGGTACAAGTTTGCAAAGAAATACAAACAATGTGCAAAAAACTCTGCTCTCATTATTTGTCGTTATTTTAAAAAAGACTGTATTATTATATTGAACAGTTGTTCCCTTGTTTATTTTTTTAAAAATAATTTTGGAATAGACACCCACGTTTGTGGTTATAGCATAGACATGTTTGTGCTTTAAACATTTTTTTTTTTTTATCTATTACCTTATAAATTGTGATTAGAATTTGCTTTCAATTCAATAGGGTGAGGCAGACACAGAGTGGAAGTTTGCGCGCAGTAAGTTATACATGGAGTATATTAAAGACGACGCCACACTGCCTATACCATTCAACATTGTACCCACCCCAAAGTTTTTCTACAATACGGGCTCATTCTGTTTGAGGATATTCAGGAAGAAAGACGATCAGGACGAGCCCCATCCAATACACCCTGGCCGAGTGAAGGACATCGAGATGTTCAATATCAGCCCAGGTGCTACTAACTCGGTACGTTATAGCATAGAGGATACTCTATATGGTATAGCCTTGTGTATTGTTCTTGGTTTCGGATAACCTAATTGGGTAACTTACTCGCGATTGGATAACCTAGGTGGAAATTTTTCCATAGGGATAACCTAGGGCATCACGGTTTAACCTAGTGGTAATTAATCTTATGGGGATAACTCAGGTGAACCGTAACCAGCGAAATAAAACAAACGTAACTTACTCGGTACGGGATAACCAAGGGGTAACTTACTCTGTACTGGATAACCAACGGGTACTTACTCGGTACGGGATAAACAAGGGGTAACTTACTCGGTACGGGATAACATAGAGGTAACTTACTCCGTACGGGATAACCAGGGGATAACTTACTCGGTACGTGATAACCAAGGGGTAACTTACTCGGTACGGAATAACCAAGGGGTAACTTACTCGGTATGGGATAACCAAGGGGGAACTTACTCGGTACGGGATAACCAAGGGGAAACTTACTCTGTACGGGATAACCAAGGGGTAACTTACTCTGTACGGGATAACCAAGGGGTAACCTACTCGGTACGGGATAACCAAGGGGTAACTAACTCGGTACGGAATAACCAAGGGGTAACTTACTCTGTACGGGATAACCAAGAGGTAACTTACTCGGTACGGGATAACCAGGGTAACCTACTCGGTACCGGATAACCAAAGGGTAACTTACTCGGTACGGAATAACCAATGGGTAACTTACTCGGTACGGGATAACCAAGTGATAACTTACTCGGTACGGGATAACCAAGGGATAACTGGTAACTTACTCGGTCCGGGATAACCAAGGGGTAACTTACTCTGTACGGGATAACCAAGAGGTAACTTACTCGGTACGGGATAACCAGGGTAACCTACTCGGTACCGGATAACCAAAGGGTAACTTACTCGGTCCTGGATAACCAAGGGGTAACTTACTCGGTACGTGATAACCAAGGGGTAACTTACTCGGTACGAGATAACCAAGGGGTAACCTACTCGGTACGGGATAACCAAGGGGTAACTAACTCGGTACGGAATAACCAAGGGGTAACTTACTCGGTATGGGATAACCAAGGGGGAACTTACTCGGTACGGGAAAACCAAGGGATAACTTACTCGGTACGGGATAACCAAGGGGGTAACTTACTCAGTACGGGATAACCAAGGGGTAACCTACTCAGTACAGGATAACCAAGGGGTAACCTACTCGGTACCGGATAACCAAAGGGTAACTTACTCGGTCCTGGATAACCAAGGGGTAACTTACTCGGTACGGGATAACCAACGGGTACTTACTCGGTACGGGATAACCAAGGGGTAACTTACTCGGTGCGGGATAACCAAGGGGTAACTTATTCGGTACGGCATAACCAACGGGTACTTACTCGGTACGGAATAACCAATTGGTAACTTACTCGGTAGGGGATAACCAAGTGGTAACTTACTCGGTACGGAATAACCAAGGGGTAACTTACTCTGTACGGGATAACCAACGGGTACTTACTCGGAACGGGATAACCAATGGGTAACTTACTCGGTACGGAATAACCAAGGGGTAACTTACTCTGTACGGCATAACCAACGGGTACTTACTCGGAACGGGATAACCAATGGGTACCTTACTCGGTACGGAATAACCAAGGGGGAACTTACTCTGTACGGGATAACCAAGGGGTAACTTATTCGGTACGGCATAACCAACGGGTACTTACTCGGAACGGGATAACCAAGGGGTAACTTACTCGGTATGGGATAACCAAGGGGTAACTTACTCGGGACGGAATAACCAAGGGGTAACTTACTCGGTATGGGATAACCAAGGGGTAACTTACTCTGTACTGGATAACCAACGGGTACTTACTCGGTACGGGATAACCAAGGGGTAACTTATTCGGTAGGGGATAACCAAAGGGTAACTTACTCGGTCCTGGATAACCATGGGATAACTTACTCGGTACGGGATAACCAAGTGGTAACTTACTCGGTACGGAATAACCAAGGGGTAACTTACTCGGTCCTGGATAACCAATGGGTAACTTACTCGGTACGGGATAACCAAGGGGTAACTTGCTCGGTACGGGATAACCAAGGGGTAACTTACTCGGTACGGGATAACCAAGGGGTAACTTACCCGGTACGGGATAACCTAGGGGTAACTTACTCGGTACGGGATAACCAAGGGGTAACTTACTCAGTACGGGATGACCAAGGGGGGAACTTACTCGGTACGGGATAACCAAGTGGTAACCTACTCGGAACGGGATAAACAAGGGGTAACTTACTCGGTACGGGATAACCAAGGGGTAACTTGCTCGGTACGGGATAACCAAGGGGTAACTTACTCGGTACGGGATAACCAAAGGATAACTTATTCGGAACGGGATAACCAAGGGGTAACTTACTCGGTACGGGATAACCAAGAGGTAACTTAAAACCAAGGGGTAACTTATTCGGTACGGGATAACCAAGGGGTAACTTACTCGGTACAGGATAACCAAGGCTTAACTTACTCGGTACGGGATAACCAAGGGGTAAATTACTCGGTACGGAATAACCAAGAGGAAACTTACTCGGTACGGGATAGCCAAGGGTAACTTACTCGGTACGGGATAACCAAGGGGTAACTAACTCGGTACGGAATAACCAAGGGGTAACTTACTCGGTACGGTATAACCAAGGGATAACTTACTCGGTACGGGATAACCAACGGGTACTTACTCTGAACGGAATAACCAAGGGGTAACTTACTCGGTACGGGATAACGGGTAACTTACTCGGTCCGGGATAACCAACGGGGACTTACTCTGAACGGAATAACCAAGGGGGAACTTACTCTGTACGGAATAACCAAGGGGGAACTTACTCTGTACGGAATAACCAACGGGTAATTACTCTGAACGGGGTAACCAAGGGGTAACTTGCTCGGTACGGGATAATCAAGGGATAACTTACGCTGTACGGGATAACCAAGAGGTAACTTCCTCGGTACGGGATAACATAGAGGTAACTTACTCGGTACGGGATAACCATGGGATAACTTACTCGGTACGGGATAACCAAGGGATAACTTACTCTGTACGGGATAACCAAGAGGTAACTTACTCGGTACGGGATAACCATGGGGTAACTTACTCGGTACGGGATAACCATGGGGTAACTTACTCGGTACGGGATAACCAAGGGATAACTTACTCGGTACTGGATAACAAAGGGGTAACTTACTCGGTACGGGATAACCAAGGGGTAACTAATTCAGTACCGTAAACGTTTCTTTCAATTGAATTTGCTACAAGGCCTATGACTTGTAAATGTTAAAACAGGAGAGATAACAATTACATAATTGATATTCATATGTTTGGCCCCTTATTAGGATTTTTAACAATCTGTTGGAAACACCAACCATTTCAAAATTATATTATCAATTAATGTAAGTAATATTTGTTGTTATTAAAAAAATATCTAAACTCAAAATACCCTTTTACTGTTACCATATTTAGTCAGTATTTCAGGTTCTTTTAAAACAGAATAATTAATTCGTCTATTACTCATTTTGACAACTACAATCGACAATGCTACTTTAGAAATATGAGTCTCAATTCGATATGATATCATTTCGTTATATTGGACCGAAAAATTATTGTTGGGGGGAAGCCTTTTTCACACGAATTGAAATATTTTGTGTATCCCTCTAATAATATTAATATAATTTCGTTGTTACACTCATTGTAAGTATATTTGAATACCCAGGCTGCCCCTGAAGTGAAGGTAATTGGTCGGCGTTACAAGTCACTATCTATAAAGTGTGTCTGTCCATTGATGTATTTCTTAACCTTCTCATCGTTTGCTTCTGGACTCCGAATATGTATTTCTATTATCTATTTTCTATTTCTCATACCCCAGGCAAGGATATATTTTAGTTTTAGATATCTATATCACAAAGTAGTAATGAGAACGATTTTCTATTACAATCCAGATTTTTCCTAAAAAGTTAAATGCGTGAATTTGTTTGATATCTTTTGAAGGTTTATTCTTGTATCTAAAACTAAAAAAACAAAAACATTGCCAGTAATGTAAGTCTGTTAGTTCATTTTGAAATATGTTGACCCGTATGTGCATATATTCGGTACATGGAATACCAGAACACCTCAGGTTTGAAGTAAAAATATGACGTCATTCGGATGTGATAATATCACAACAATTTTAATTTAATTTTGAAAACTGAAGAAATCATCGTTTTACTTCAAATCAAAACTTCAATGTAAGGGGTACGCGCAAATCAATCACTTTCTCTTCGTCTACTTTCTTTAGATGCCTAACGTTTCCTGACATTCTCGTAGTTACTTCCTTTTTCCTGATTGTTGTTGATCTATCTTAGCTATAGATAGGTATGCATCTCAAGTTTTGAATATATATCTACATACCGTTGCGTAATATATATATTTACCGTAACTTTTGTAACGTTTCTGATTCATGCATGCATAAATATGATCGATGCTATCTTAGAAATAACAGCTACGAAGTGTATGCTATGATATCACCAGTTTTACTGTTCTTGATATATTTTAGAATGAATATTCTATCTTTAATGTGTTTGTAGCAGGCTTTGTCAACTCAGAACGTCTTCCTATCTTAAATGAAAACACAGAACTGTATGTTGTTATTTCTCTCACGTCACCTGCTTTTTGTTGTGTAAATTGTGTGTTGTAAGTTCAAGGAAAATTGTTTAATGTATTCATTGGTATTCAATTATCAATTGATAACTGATTATTACAGAAATGATCAGTCAAGATTTTATCATGAAATGAAATTAGTAATTTCTTTTGTTTGATTCTGCATTATATAGCGTATGGAGAAAATCAACGCATTATATAAATATCGTGAATCTTAAATTACAGTTCTCATTTATTATAATACGCTATGATTACCCTTTTACTATGAATAATCATATTTAACCTTACATTTATATTAACTTTTGATAAAAAGTCGAATACAATGTGTTTGGTTTTGGGTTATAGCCACCAGAGAGGCGTGGACCCAACTGGCAAACAAATAGTCGCGCAGCCAACCAGACAAAGGGTATAAAGGTGTTCCAGGACCGGATACATACCACAAACGGTTTTGTCCGCAACGATTCTGATCCCAGTCTCTTTGCGGAGAAGCTGACGTACAAAGTAAGGCAATGTCGTTGTCGTTATACCACCCCATTGTTTTATAATTTATATTACTTCCGTGTTCAGTTTCAGAGGAGATATCTGTTTTATTATGTAAATACTCACGCAGTAGTCGATATATTTTTTCAGTAACCAAGGCTACGAAGATCGATTAATGGAGGAAAACAAAAGTTAACCGTAGCCTTTCATGTCGGATTTGTTCATGATGTATCTAAATAAGCTTTTGAAAAGCTATCATGGAAAATAACATATATTTAAAATCTGCAAATTGATTATGAATACACATCGTTAGCAACAAAATTATATATGTATGTTGATTGAACATATTTGAATAGATAAACATAAATAAATCATCAATTCATAGTCTTTGCTGCAGTCGAACGTTGCAGCAAATCTTTAATGGAAGGTAATGTTCATATAACTTACTGTCGTATTTACAGAGGGTGATGAAGCGGATTGTTAAACGTTACATCTTTGACGTTCAACGTGAAGATGACACTGGAGAATGTACGTTCTAATTAGTCATGGTTGTCATGCGTTAAAAAAAATGAAATAAATTGTTATTGTAAAAATTAAGGAATGAATTATATTTAATTCTGGTTACTTTATAACACGAACAGTTCGTTGGTACTTTCCTTCGTTGTTTGAAGCATTTAAGATCGTTTCGTTGATATCCTATATTAATAAACAGTAGACCTGTATATCATTTAAATTAGTTGTATTTATTTTCGTGGTTCAATAGCAACCACGAGAACCACGAATAATTATACACAACGAACAGTTCATGTTATACAGTACTGGTTATACAATATTGGTTATACAGTATTGGTTATACAATATTGGTTATACAGTATTGGTTGTACAGTATTGGTTATACAATATTGGTTATACAGTATTGGTTATACAATATAACATCTGCTTCTAACTAAAGCACGTTTAAATGTTATTTTTCTATTTTAAAATAAAAGCTTGCCTGTTTTAAACGAACGCTTGAACATTTTTAAACCACGTTCTCTAACGATCTAAGTGTCATCAATATTAACCTCTCTAATGGTGTCTGACCAAATGGGACCATTGGTGAATAAGAATAACTTGATTGCTCGGAATTTTTTATGTATGTCGGCCCAAGTCATAATTTTGATATCCGATTTTGATTATTTTTTTAAAAATCAGTTTCTGTAACTTTTACCTGTTCGACCACCTAGTTATACACGGTATCATCCAGGGTATTGTTGAAACCTATATTTGAGTTAAAAAGGTAGAATATAAGTCAACAAGTGAGCTATATAGGGCAATAGCTTTATTATATATAGGTAAGTGACATCTACATATATTCTCACAATGCTTTACAGTCATAACATCTTAATGACTTTATGGTTACCACATCTCTCATTCTCTTTTAGCTAAGGAAACCCTAGATAGCTGAGGAATGAGATGATATTTCTTCACGAAAGAAATATAGTGACGTTTATTCTTTTGTATTCTTATTCATGACGCAGATACGCTTGATTTAATTATTTACTTGTCTGTCCGTTTCGTAAAATTGAAACATTTTGCATTTCTGTCCTTTATGGCATACAGTATCAGCTCTGTAATTGTTGTCTATTTTACGATATTTAACTGGAAGTTCTATTGGATGGATGGCTACGAATGTGAACATGTACCTCTTCAAAACTTCTATCACTAAAAGCGGCCGTCAAAACGTTTCTGTTACTTTAAAAAGGTGCGTTTTGTAATTAAAGTTAAGCTTTTCTGAAGAAAAAGTTTGACGAAAAATACCTTTAAGTAACAGTAGGGTTTGGTTGGTCGCTATCGGCTATCGTACAAAACTTGCATTTGACTGCTAAATCTTGTCTGTTAACATCAATATCGCTATTTATATCCTATTGCATTTTTGAAATCAGCAGACAGAAATGAACCGAATATATGTAAATATATTTTCCTGTGACGTTCTCACCTATTCCATTGTGTCTTTTGTACTCCGATCGTTTACTCTTTAAACAGTGTACATTCTATTTTCATATTGAAGATTTTTTGACAATCTTTACATATATAAATATAATCTACTAAAACTAGTGATAAATGCTTAAATGAAGTTAATCCTTTAACGTTATATAATGTTTTTGAAAATGAAATCATAATATTTATCTATTAGAGGAATTAGCAATTCGGGTCATCATAAGGAACAGTGTTTGAGTTGAACAGCAGTGTTATGCCATTCATCAACAATATGCGAGGCAGCTACTTATGCTTATTTTTGCTGTTTATTAAGAGAAGAATTCCAAGTTGTTTGTTTTGCAATATATGTTTCGTAATGACGTTCATCTATAACATTTTCATACCATAAGATTGTTGTTATTACTAAAGTAAGATTGATTGTGATTGATTACTATATAATTTACAGGTGACTTCGATGAAATAAAACAAGATATTTCCAGCTTCCGTTACGAGATGCTTAACCATTTAACACAGCGCCAGCGTGAAGCAAAGGAGATCTTTGACAGAGTTGATACCATGGAATATAAAATGGACACCCTAATGCAACAACAATCATTGTGGTTGAAAGCTATTTCCAAAAGTGATTCAGAGTTCAAACTAAGTAACTTTATGGATCCAAAAGGCATATCAAAGGCTGCCACTATTTCACAGGAAAGTGCTATATATGACTGTAATGAGGAAACCAGTGAGGACGTGGGCGAAAGTGACCGGAAATCAAATGTCGGAGTGCTGCATGATATTCCGGAAGAAGAAAAGCATCCAATGTCAACTGAACACAAGTTACAAAGACAAAGAGCTGATTGTGATAAGGATGAATGTGACACGGAGGAGATTACGGTGGAGCTGAATAAAAATGGAAATAATGAATGTGATGTTGTAGACGAACGGTTATAGGTTTGGTTAAGGTGATAATTAATTGCAGAACCGGAAGTGCCTAATATCCTCCATTTTACCTCATTACAATCAAAAGCTTTATGCATTACGATGATATGGCATATTCGTATTGAAATTTTAGTACCTAGCTGGAAATACGTGATAATAACATAACAAAAGTCGTCATTCTTGCTATTTGGAAAATGCGTGGTTCAAAGGGAATGTCAATCGTCTTTACGGTAAAGCGCATGCATTTTTTAGCATTGAAATGACCTGCACTTTTAATTTTAAGGTGTCAAAAAGGAACATTTGCTTCGATGCTTACGTGACCAGTTACAACTGATCGTAACATGAATGCCTTTTTAATCAATTATCCTCAAAATATTATTTATGAAATGGTCATCTTTGTAATAACATGTGCTGTAGGGTTTCAGCAAGCGTTTATAATACATATGACGAAAAGTTCACAATAATCATTTTTTTAACTTTTTGTATTCTTATTTAGTTTATATTTTACAGTTTTCACATGAATACAAATATTGTATCAAAATATTGGCTATTGTAGTGCCTATTTATCTTAATCTTCATTGATTTAGTGTAAAAAAGAACCATGTCGAAATGATAAAAAAATAAGATATTTTATTTTTGAAATTGGTTTGACAATATACATTAAATACTGTAGGTAACAACTTTGTTTCTAAAGCTAAGCATTTGGCTTTTGTAAATACTGTAAATGTCACGTGAGTTTGGGAACTCTGCGATAGCATGGTACGACATTTGATGCCATTCCTTCGTCAGGTGATATGTTAATATTCTGTCATATAAGCACAGATACATTATTTATGTGGTAGTAAGAAATCACATTTCCCGTTCAATTCCAGCTTTTTGCCATGTTCAGATCTTTTAATGTCTAGTATCCAACAAACGATGTGATAAGGTGTTGAAACCCGTGTATATGTCCCTATCGTGAATGCACAATCATCATAACTATTTAATGACACCTGTTGTAAATCCATTCCATAAATTGTATCCTTTAATTTATTCAAAAAATTCAATGTAATTCCTTTGTGAAAATCAGCTTTACATCAAATGTGTTTTATCTTCTGTCACCCAATCCCCCCACTCTATCCCTCCCCCCCCCCTCTTTTTTTCCCATTTCTAACGTTTTGCTACTGGATTTATCTTAATATATTTCCTGTATTGTATGTAAATACCCCTTTTTCGAACAAGAACAATCATTTTACTCGCTCGGTAACAATAAGTGGTATTTTACTCGCTCGGTTACAATAAGTGGTATTTTACTCGCTCGGTTACAATAAGTGGTATTTTACTCGCTCGGTTACAATAAGTGGTATTTTACTCGCTCGGTTACAATAAGTGGTATTTTACTCGCTCGGTTACAATAAGTGGTATTTTACTCGCTCGGTTACAATAAGTGGTATTTTACTCGCTCGGTTACAATAAGTGGTATTTTACTCGCTCGGTTACAATAAGTGGTATTTTACTCGCACGGTTACAATAAGTGGTATTTTACTCGCATGGTTACAATAAGTGGTATTTTACTCGCTCGGTTACAATAAGTGGTATTTTACTCGCATGGTTACAATAAGTGGTATTTTACTCGCATGGTTACAATTAGTGGTATTTTACTCGCATGGTTACAATAAGTGGTATTTTACTCTCTCGGTTACATTAAGTGGTATTTTACTCGCTCGGTTACAATAAGTGGTATTTTACTCGCACGGTTACAATGAGTGGTATTTTGCAGACGATGTTATTGTTCTGTATTGCAAGATGATAACAATTCATACATCACCCTATTTCGATTATGTTGTTATTGTTTTATGAGTCATTGTTTCAATATTGTGTCAATAATATAATCACTGATAACGCATATTTGTTCCATATTTATTTGCACAAACACTACCCTTCATTCGGCAATATACGTTATGGAACCTCGCAGATCTAAACTATTCAATATCAGCACAAATTATTTGGATGAAAAATCGTTCCGACTTAACAAAATATTATTCCTATCTAACTCATAAACGTCAGGATAGCAAATATTCAAGATTGGCAGAGCGATTATTAACCAACTGCCAATCAATATCAAATAATTAAAACAAAATGCCGAGGTGTATTGACCATAATCTTGTTCATTGGCGAAACGGGGTTTTGGCTGAATGTCTTTTAAATTGCTCATTTAAACATTTTTCTTACAAAACGCTGTTGCAAGAGGAATGTGAACATATGTTATTACATTTTGCGTACCATTCACACAAGCATTTTATGGGAAATACTATTATCATAAAACAAATATTAAATATTTGTTTATGATGTAAGGCTTAGCTAGAGTTAATAAAACAAAATGTGCTTCTGCCCAAATATGTGGAAAAAAACCCAAAGCAATCATAATCAAATGAAATAAAATATATATGCATATTACAATAGATAATGTATTCATAATGTAAGTTTAAATTTAGCATTCATTGCGCCTTATATGTACCACTGAAATAATAATATATATTTCAAAACGTAAAAGCGTCGTATGAGGTTCTAACGAACTAGGCATAAGTTTACTAGACCATGGCTGTTGGGTAGCCAACGTCTACAGAGTAAGAAACACTTTACCGGAATAAGATATAAATGGCGTATAACGCAGTACCATGATCGGTTGAGAAAAGGCAATTTATGGAAAATAATAATAACGATTTTATAATTTACACACTTCAGATCCAGTGCGGGGAACACATAAGTGCTGCCGAGTATAGTAACTACAGAGGTTAGATTATACTTGACAACAGAGCTCATTATGTTTTACACCAATAATTTGTCGAGTTTTATGAATATGGGTATAATTGTAGAGATGTACTTAATTCATCATTGCATGTGCTGGTACAGTTCTTTTCTAAACAGTTTAATACCTTACTCTGGAAGATCAGACACATTGCTTTCTGGAGCAATACTAGGATAGCCCTGCTACTTTAGAGAAACACAAAGATGTATACACTAACAGTGAATGTTCCGAGGTACAAAGTCTACACTAAAATTACCATTTTCTATAGGTTATAAGGTTTATAGTTATATATATTTATGAATTCAAAATATAATACATAAATATATCATTCGCATATTTGATTTAAAAGGTTGGTTGTGATCACAGTCAAGCCATGGCCGAACTGTTGAATTGGTTACAAAAACAAATCAGTTGTGTACATTGTTTCTATAATGTGAAACATTCCAGCATCCGTTAACTATCACAATGTCTTGGGACATATTAGAAAGTAATAACATAACTTGTTTTAGATAAGCATTGGTTGTTTTACCTGTGACGTTACGTACTTTCCCAACATGCCTGGTCCAGCGTGCCGAATGTTTAGACTTTATATATGATTAGACATCTGATTTTGCTATTGTTTGCTCATACCATGCCTCTGTCTAGTAAAGGATGTGTGGTAGTTTATAACAAAATGCGTCTCCTTTCAAAAAGAGTTCCGTTCTGAATATATTTATTCAATGACAGTTCTTTAAAAACCCAGTCCATATAAAGATATCTGTCATAATTGTAAAATCGTAAAATCATCCCTATCGAAACTTGCAAGGGGAAATCAATCAAACACAGGTAAAGGTATTACGGGTATGTAAGGCTATGTAAACAACTGGTTTGTATAGAATTCGAAAGGAATTGTTCTGGAATTTTGATATTCATAGATAAGTATATATGTACGAAGGTGGACGGGTCTAATTGTAAGAAAATTCGATTGATAAAGGTGAACATAACACGATATATTCCAGCAATAGTTAATTACAAAATATATCAAAACAGACATCTGCATACTAACAACACCCATATTTAGTATATGAATGTTTACATTTAAAAGGTGTGGAAGAATATCTCTGGTAACTACTTTTAAGCGAAGAGCGAAATACATTGCATGCGTATTGTTTTAAAGTTTAAATCCCATTGTCCGATTAAAAAATTTGAAATAACTTCATGCATAATATGAATCGCCATACGATATGTATGACGTAATATAGGTGAAACAGTTGTGTATTATTTTATCACAATAGGTATATTCATCTGTATAGAAATGTTATTGAACGACAAAAAATTGAAATTAAAATTTTCTCTGAAATACAGCACTTGTCGTGTCAAATTGTTTTTCTTTTTTCCGTCCTACTAACTCCTATTAGCATATGTTTGTATGCGACTCTGTACCTGAGTTGACTGGTAAATGTATGAACGGTTCAGCAAACCGTTATTAACGTTTTCAATTCAAAACAACAGAAAAGGTTTAAATACAATTAGTCGACAACTATAGAAACCGACAATTTTCCCTTCTTTTCCCCTTCTACCTTCCTTCATCACGTGTTATCAATAAGGCTTGTACAGGTTTTTTTTATCGTTCAACCATTCTTATGATAAAATTAGTTTATGTCAACTGACTTTTTTTCCAGTGACGAATAACACTTTTCCATTTTCTAATATTTTGATTAATTTCAAAGAGTCTATTTCCTTTTCTATATTTAATCAAATTTTGACTCTTTGCCCTTTTTAGAAAGTTTATTCTAATGAATAATCTTGTTATTAACACCAATTATTAGGGTAATTTCGCCACACCGTAGCGGTTTTATTTGCTTTATCTGTTCTTACACTACTAACGACGTTACAAATATGATGAAGAACGAAATAATGATGTTGCTATCTAACTGAAATTTCCAAAATGCCACAATCAGAATTCAAGTGTTTCGATAAACCCAAATTAAACATTACAGATATTACTGCCCTATTCGTCTGATGGTTTATTTGTCTTATATTACATGGTCAAAATTTAAAATTTGTTTGCCGGTAAATTTAAATAGGGTTTTTTAATTGTGCTCTAGGTATAAAATGATATCTGCATTTTGCCATCAATTAAGGTTTTTGAAGGCACATTTCCCTTCCACTGACTGTCCTCAATTGTTAAATTGATCCACAGGCCGTACAGTACAGAAAACAATGTTAACTGAGGTCAGCTTTCGGTAGCGATTTTATTTTAGACAGGTTTTCATCCTTTATTTATAGTATCATTACATTTGATTTTAAGCTACCATGCTACGTGTAAAAAGGGGTGCAACTCGTAGCCAAACCTACTTCACGGCAAAACTGTTATCAGATTTAACGAAAAATTAATTCTGTGTCGGTAATATGCATGTGTATAACTAGTGAAATATTGATCATTTCCTGCAGTGCTCAAACAGTTACCATTACATCCTATCACAGTCCGAATAGTCAGCATCTTTATCGACACGTACAACCGCTAAGTTGAATTGGTTTAAATATCAATTTAATTCTCTACTAATATGCAAAAAAGGAAAACATTCGCAATGTAACAAATAAAACGATACAATAATCCAAAATGACAGCATAAACCAAATGTTCTGTGTCATTGTTCTACACAACTAATGACATACGCATGTCAAATGTTCTGTGTCATTGTTCTACACAACTAATGACATACGCATGTCAAAT